ACGGAAAAAATGTCAGTAATTCAATTACAATTTCAAATCAGTATTAATGCGAATGCGGACAAAAAAGATTGGGCCAGAATACCAAATAGACGATCTCCCATATGAGATAATCCTTAAAAGTCATTGTATAATAATTTATGCCGATTCCACCCATCGATTTGTTCCATCAACGTATCCGTTAATCTTCATTTCTATAATTCTATTTTACATTTTCTTAACAAGCAATGGAAGTCATGCCCTAAATTCATCTGAATTTCAATGAGACAACGACTAATTTATCTCAATTTACCGCCATTTACCTAACACAAGCAGATTAGTACCTACCAATTCGAGTTAATTGGTTTGGACCTTACAAAAATGTAAACAGGGCACGATTGGAAAGTTATAAATTAATTATCTCTAATTGAAATTATATAAATCGACGCTTTCTTTTCGGTACTTCGGTTGACATTTTCCGATGATTCGAGTGAAAGTCGGTAGGTACACAAGAAATTCCTTTGCAAATCACAAACCGCGCTTGAAATTGAAATTTAATGCATGCATGGGTAAACGATTTGAACGTTAGTGTCTGTCACGCCCATTCCTTCGAAACATAAAGAACCCATACCCGAGGTGTAGGTGTAAACCCCATTCAAATACAAGTGAAGCACATCATAAAAAGAGAAGATAAGTTTTAGTGCCTTTGTTCACGGCGTATACATAATTTTCTTACCGCTCGAGCTTTATGAAGATGTTCATATTCATTTTTGCAAATAATGCTCGCTGACCTCAAATTTAAATATAGACGTTTAAAATTAGTTTTGAAAGACCGATGACTGAAAAAAAGCAAACTACCCATACAGTTAATTATATGCTGGGAAACTGTTGGCTGACGCTCACGATTAGTTTTTTTAATGAGTGCCATCAATGTATTGTTTTTAATTGAATACACACTCCAATTTGCATCTTCTTTAATTAGCAATGTGTTCCTGAATATAACTTCCGTTTGATCGGTGATAATATTCATATCACCCACGCACATTATACATAAACCCACCCTGCACTATTTCTTTCAGCGGTGCGTACGTTTCTAGTAACAGAACCAAAAATGATCTCCTGGATCTAGCGTTTGAGAAATAGGCCCATATTTGTGTTTTTCAAGTCTCCAAATCACTTGATGTGTCGGTCGATTCAGCTAGGCTGAAACTTCTCTTGTATTTTTAGGGAAAATGTGATGCGGAACACCATCTGTAATAATCTGTAAATAAAAAAACAAATACGTATTCTCAACATGCCGAAATTCAAAATGGCGTCCATAGGAAAAAATAAAAATGCCACGTATTTATAAGTACGTAATAAGAAATTTTCGTTTTTTACGATATTTTCAAAAATTTCTTTTCTTTTCGCAACTCTCCTCATTTAATCAACTTTCTCTCTCTTAAGATAAGCGAGATCCCCATAGCGGTACTCGAAAAATGGACACTGTATAAAAGGCCATATAAGTGTGGGGGAGATTTTAAGCTTACTATACCTATAGGACAGGATTCTTTAAAATGGGTCGTGTGAACTGCCAAGTTTGTGGGAATTTTCCGTTAATGCAACGTCGAGGTTTCTGGCATTTTGCGTTTCTGGAGATATTATTGGCTAAAAGAAATGAATTTTATTGGTTGAACAGATTAAAATGGTCGGTGGGCGTAGTTTCGAAAAATGAAGTTGAGTCGTTCGAAGACACTCGGGAGATATTGCGCACGAAGTCACGAGAGAACACGCTGAGGGCCGCGACAGCAGAGCTAAGTCAATAACCCGAAAGATCGGCGCATAGTTGTTAATTAGTTGGTGGAAAATTAAGCTCAAGCAGCCGGAAAATTAAAGTCGAAACCGAAAAAAAAGTGTCGCGTTGATATTTCCCATTATGAATCATTAAAGCGTTTGCGCTAAAGTACCAGGCGTAGTTTTTGGATTATGAATGAACCTTCGTGAATACTTAGTGCCAGAGATTTTTGCGTTGAAGCGCGCGCAGTTTCGTTGGGTAATTTCCATGCGAGGAAAAATACGTATAATTACTAAGTTGTAAAAGAATAGATGCTCCTAGTTTGAAATTTTAACCACCTCCTAGTAAAGGCAAGCATATCGCATATTGGAAAAATAAGATGCGCGATTGCACAATGACAACTTTCTTACTTATTGGGAGGTTTTAACCATAGATAAATAAACATATAGCCATAGCCTCTAGGGAAGTACTGATAAATGCATTGAAAATGCGCCTAAGTTATTCGCCTTAGGGCGAAAAACTGTTTACTTATTTTGTTGGAACTCTTTGACGCTAAACTCGCAAAGTGGACTAAAAATAGAATGCATAAAGTCATTCAGTCGGCCTCCTGTGCGCAGCTAACTTATTTTCGTTTTCCGACGGATTACGTAATTTTGCAATCGCTTGAATATTTAAAAAAAGTTAAGCCACATTCCTTTACGAGATCTTTTCGGAGATCGGACAGTAGAACTTTCCGTACTGGAGTTGCATGCTGTGAGGATTTCGCTACTGTAAATAAGGTAATCATTTTTTTAAATTTTTGTATTCAAACCAGTATCTTTTTTCCTTTAAAAGCGTAAAAAATGAGAGTTTGTTGGTTGAATAGTCATAAAAAAACCTTTAAAGTGTCGATACTTTACTAATATCGAATTGCACGGGCGAACCCATCTAAAATTTTGCAGTTACATTTAAATAACGAACACATTATAGCTGGGTTCGGGATATTCTATTTTTTAAGATTACGAATTGTGTGTAAAACTGGAGCACCAATTCTCAATATTGTTTAAAAAGAGTCAAGTTATAGAAGAGTGGTCAATTAGGTAGGATATGTACGATTTCAAGTATGAGATTTTGAGTTAAAACAAATTAAACGCAGGTGGAGTTTCGATAATTAATTTTATTTCATATTATATACCGTAACGTAAATTGAATTACGTGATTTATTGATTTACAATTAATTATTAATGAAGCCAATTTATCACCTACGAGTGCGAACTTTACTAATAATCACTTCGGTGTCAATAATGGAACTGACTTAAATACGCTGAAAGTTGCTTATATAGCAAACGGAAAGTCTCTAGAAACAATCACGGTACGTTCTCGAAGAGTCTAGTAGGCGTACCATATTTCGAGAGAAGAATGCGTCGCATCCGCTGCCATCGGGGCGCCATCAAGTCGATAAAAGATGAGTCAGTTTATCTCCGGTGACTAACCTTTTATCGACTAGATGGCGCCCCAATGCCCAACACTCGGTACAATATGTAACTATTTTTTGATTGATGATGAAAGTGAAAAAAAGAAGGAAACTTTTGGAAAGTAAACGGAAAATTTTAAGAAAATTATGGTATTCACTTCCCAGAGTTATTCAAGTTAATGCAAAAAAGATTATAAGAATCCAGGAAGCTTCAGTGCAAATTTTAGGGAAATACGAAGATATTCTAGGGAAATATGGACACAATTCTGAAAAATAATAAGTCAATGTTTAAGAAAATGCTGTAACATATACCGCGTGGAAATTAAAGAAGCAAGGCAACATAAGAAGTTTTGGTGAAATTAGACGAAAAGTACAGTTATTTCGTACACGAACTAAAGGGAGGTATGGGAGAACTATAATAATATTTTGGGGGACGGACAAATACTAGGGAAGTTTGGAGGAAGTAATAAAAAAATTCTAAGGAATACGGGGAAATTCTGGAAAAAAGTTATTTTGGAGGAGTAAAACGCAAGTTCTAATGAAATACAATTATGTATTTTATATTTAAATTGGGGACATTTAATTCAATACAAGGGAAAGGGGGAATAAAAGGTAAAGTGGAATGAAAGCATTCGCGGAGGAATAAGGGTAAGTTTTGGATTCTAGAGGATTACGAGGAAATGTTAACGAAAAAGAAGAAGATTCTAGGAAATTATAAGCTAAGTAAAATGCAAATTTTTATGAAATGTAAAAACTGGAGACACCTAAGCCGACGAAAAAATTTTTGGGAAAAATAGAGGAAATTTATCAGTACTTTGCCAGGAAAAGCGGAAATTTTGAACACATTAGAGAAGCTTCTGAGGAAATACGAACGAATTTTGGGAAACATGAAAGAAAATTTGGAAAATAAATTGCATAAATGATGCAAGAAGCTTTAAGGAAATTAGAGGGGATTTTGGAGAAGATAGGTATTAGATTTGGGGTGTGACAGGTGGCCGCGTTGCCGCTTCAAAAATGCGGCTTTGAATTTGAATTCTGTTAAACATAGGGAAATTGTACCGCTTCATAGTTAACTTGAACTAAAGTAAGTCTGGCGATATCAAGAGATAACAAGAAAATAGAAGGGTATTATTAAGAACTACCTATTACCTAAAATTAATAGAAAATAGAGGTAAACGAGCATGGTTGCCACGATCTCTAAAAGTTGCGTTTATTCCATTTTAAGCGGGCTGAAAAAAGCCAAATGCGGGTTTCCTATTGGTTGTTAGGGACCGCCAGTCGAGGTCGTTGTTCTAACGGGCAAGATTCAAATAGCGAGCTTTCTAAGCCGATTTTCGCGAGCGAGTACCAATTTGGGTACCATAATTATTACTATTCTTGGTTTATTTCACGTAAAAACGAAAGGCTTTTATTTAACTTCAAGGGCGATTACGTCCAAATATCGGTTTGTGACAACATTGATTCGCGGTCGACATTTTTAGCTACGTCGCGAGAAATATCCTCGCGTATCTGTAAAGATATTCCGTGGAAATTCCTGCAATTTTATAAGCGAATGAATAGAAAAATTACAATCAACTACGGGACGAAGAAAAACTTTTTCGCAGCCTGATTCGTAACAAGGCTGTTTATTTACGAGTGGTAAAATACACGCGAAGGAACATTTTCAAGTCGGAGAACCGCTTTTCGAATAAAAAAACTCGATGAAATAAACTGACAATAACTGTAATTCATTGTGATAAACAAAGCAGTTTTTTGGATCGGTAAGGGTAACGGCTAGTTAAAAGGCAGTTCCTCAAAGTTGAGTGACGTCATTGGACAACGCCTTGTGCGATAAATAAAATTTTGTAATGTAACGGCGTACGTCAGCGACACTTAAAGGATGCATTTGCCCTAATTAATAAATTGGGCAAAATTAATATCAACACAGCGGAACATTGGCATTTTATTCCTGTGCATGATCACGAGTATTAGTTTCGAGAATTTGTAACCGATTTGCTTGGATTCGGAATTCATACGAATTTTTCTTCCGCCAAATTTTGTATTCATCGAAGCGATCTGTTTCCATATTTCTAAAGAAAGCAGCATTTCCAAGGAAAGATTTGTTACCAGAAGAAAATATTACCCACGTCAATAACTGTAAGTTACAGTAAATTTTTTGATCTGTATAAAGTAGGGGTCGATAATTTTTAGGAATGCGCATAAGTAATTTTGTTCGAAGTAATTTTAATATTCCTAAAGGAATCGACCCGTGACGATTATTTGCATGAAACAGATTTGTCTATTGTATTTGTTGATAAGAATCAAACCGAAACAAAAGATTTAAACTATGTCCTTACTAGTTATTCAGTCGGTTTCGTTTTCGTTGGGCCACCCTGTATATGTCGAAAAATAAATTTTATTTTAGCCCAAATTCCTTTTCTCACAGGTCTAGGTCATTAGTTATTAATTAAATTTTAATTAATTGGCACCCTCTACAAACGTTGAGCTTAGGAAATTGCTGTTTAAGTTAGTTAGTTAAAATATTTTCACTCTTGCTTTTAATCGCACATCCAGTCTCGTATTTCTGTTTCTTAAGAAAAGCCACCCGAAGACTTATATGAAGTTGTTTACTTATTATAGCAAAATGGTCATTATGCCATAAACAGAAAGGTGAACGATCTATGCCTCAACCAGTACCTACTACGTTAAAAAAGTCAACGCGATATTTCCTACATCGACCAGATATAATTGGTCACTCATTATGTCATAAAATCTCTAATTAAACGTTAAGGCGAACATCATTAAATCCGACTCGTCCTGTAAATTACTTACGTTTGCATTCGTGAACGTTCCTGTCGGAACCTCTTCCCCAAGGCGCGTCGTTATAGAAGGGGAGGCATTCGTTACAGTCTGGTCCGGCGGTATTGTGCTCGCATTTGCAGACACGCCGTCGTGAACCATCCACGCCAGTTGATGTTATGCAGTCGGACGCGTGACCGTTGCATTTGCATCTCGCGCCGACGGCGATGTCGGCGACGGCGTAGAAATAGGAGCGCATTACTTGGGGATCTCCGAAAACTTCGTCGCCGAAGGTGTTGAGGCGGTTCAGGATGACTTTAATGTCCGTTGCCGTAACCCATTCCTGAAAAAGTGTAATATGTTCAAATTGCTGGCATGCTGCTAGTACATATGCAACACACAATGCGTACGTAATAGGCTCAAGTGTAATGTGTGTTGTCTATGCTTGCAGTAAATTTTAAGGTATACCAGTGGGTTATACTTGTGCCTGACAGAGCCTCGTGGAAATTAACTTGGAGATTTCAAACTCTACGATCGATGGAAGTAAAATGTTTAGTCCCCTGATTTTAGCAATTTATTTAAAAAAAACTACCCAAGAGATTTGTATCAAATAAAGTGCGATTTAATAGTATTTCTACGTGCGTGTTTGTACTTTCGCAATTTAAGTTCAACCGTTGAGTGAATTACTCAATGTCAATGGTATAACACAGTCATCACCCTGGGCGTGCTTCTGAACTTTCAGAGGCGCATATTCTCTTACAATGGCATCCTGCGGATTTTAGCGGAACCCTGCCAGCTGAGGAACCCCCCCCCCTCTCCCATCTCGTCAACAACTGCATTCAATGCAGCCTTAATGCACCTTGACTCAGGCTCAGAGACGTCCACCTCCGGGTGCGATACCGGAACGATGGCGACCCTGAGCCCCACTGCAGCGACTTGCCATACCGTGGTGCACCCAACTTTTGGTGCTCCAGAAACTCTACGTTCTTCTCGGGCTGCCCTGAGCCAGACCCTGATGGAGTGCTTCTCTCCGATCTGAGAGGTCGGGTTGACCCCTGAGTCAACGACCCAGACACAGCCTTAGACTTTGGCGCAGGACCCGAGGTGTTACTCTCGCACCGTCGCTTCCTGGACGTCGCCCTCTGTGCGCCAGTCGTATTCTTCTTGCGAATAGGTACTGCCCACCAGCTCCTTGAATAAGACCCAATGATCCAATGGAGGTCGAAAAAAAATGGCCCTCGTATTATCTGCTCTGCTTCGTTATTTTTTGCGGCTCCTATTTATCCTGTTCTTGAATTTTATTTGCCAACCTATTTCCGCCGTAAGGAAGACGCTTCACGCGAGCACTCACTTACACAAGCTCTTTCATACGAAGTTAGCCACACGACGGACTTTATGGTTTATTATTAATTTACACCAATTAGCAATTATAGAATGGAAGGACATGTAGGGGCTGGAGCAAAAAAACGGCCTTCTTTTTGTGCAGGAACATTTCGGAAACTTTTCGAGCTTTACTTGTCGTCAATAATGGCAGATTTTTTCAGTTGAAAATATCATGCGAGCGTTCAACATTTGAAATACCGAACTTTCCGTTCTTATTTATGACTTATGAGATATCGTGGATACACATAATCAACGTGTTTCATAAAAAATCTCCTCGGCGGAACACGTGCATATCGGTTTACATGAAAGAAAATCAATGGTAACTCGTAGGTAGGTAGGTATGCTCTTAAAAGGTTGTACAAATTTAGAAATGGGTCAGTTCTCCCATAAGCTCTCGTGTTAGTTTCGTGTAAACGCTTTTCTAATGTAATCCATTTGTGATTGGCGTCTTTGATAAGTTTCACACGAGCTTTTATAATAATCTAAATTACGGCATAAAACTGAATAGACTTTCGGCAAAGTTTGATCGCATGACAGTTTCAAAGCTCAAGTTTATGGACGCAATTCTCGGAGTCGTAAGGGACCTATCGCGTGACATCCCTACCTTTTAAGCACGCTTTACGACAATTTATTAAGAATTATTTGCTCGCATTTCTTATTGCAACTTCAGTGTAAAAAGTTAAAGCAAACTCGCGGCAACACCAAAACGTAAAAATCGCGAGCGAGTATGTTTGGGAAACAAAATATTGTGTCAAAAAATATTTTGGATGTATGTCAAAATTTGTTCAAAATGGAAGAGGAGGATAATCAGTTCGTGGTCGATGATGTTAGTAAAATTATCAAAGAGACCATCGAGTCGACGATCAGCGGCAACGTGTATCAGCAAGACAAGGTGAATCAGTGGAGTGCGGCCGTTTCCGAGCAGTGCCTCAGCGCCCTGAGTAAGCTCAAGAAATCCTTCAAGTATGTCGTTACGTGCTCGATAATGCAGAAGACCGGTGCCGGACTTCATACTGCCAGTTCGTGCTACTGGGATAGTTCGACGGATGGCACTTGCACTGTGAGGTGGGAGAATAAAAGCATGTATTGTATTGTCTCCGTATTTGGTCTTGCCATTTAAATTACGGATCTTTTATGAACAAGTGCTTTGAAATTGATTTGTATCTTTATTTACACAATTTGGTGTATTGAACATCATTGTCTTTTAAATAAATTCATTTTCCTTATAGAATTCCACAAACAAATTGCGTCAGTACTTTATTGATATACCAACTCAGTACGGTGTCTTGTCACTAATCACTATTGTGCTTTCGTGTTACCAATATACGTGAATCGCTCAAGGATAAAAACCATTCTTTCAGAAACTCCAGCACCAAAATGGTGGTCAGATATAGGTAGTTTTAACATTTCAGATTCATATGGCAGCTTTAAATTATATTTTAAGCATCAGAATTCAACTTAAAAGCCACAAGATTCACCTTCATGATGCCAAATTCAAGCAGCTATGGCATTACAGTTTGAAGATGTACAATTTGATTTAAAATGCCCAATGTTTCACTTTCATGATTGGTTTCCAATTCTGTTTTCAATAATAGGTAGACCATGCTCAAGTCTCGCAATCCCACTTTTCTCAAGATTAAGTACACAACTTTAATTTTTGTGGTTTAAAATTTCGGTATTACCGGAAGTAATCCCTTTAAGGCTCCTCTGTAGTCAATCCACCATATTGGAAAAAATAGCTAAACTTTCTTATGAAATGCTGCTTTTGTAGCTGAAGTGAAGAAACAAATTCTTGATAGTGGAATGCAATAATGCAATAATGAAAAGAACGTCGGTACTTAAAAAAAGTTGAAATATCGGTCTTAGTTTTTTAGAAAGATCGATGAATTGAAAAATCGTTTTTCGTAATACAGCCGTTGTAATGAGAGTAGAAAAACGTACAGCACCAATTTGGAAATGCGACAGTATTTCTTACGTCGATACTTAAAGATATTATTTCCATCTATTATAATAATGCATATATTTGAAAACATATGTTTGCGATCTTCAGAAAAAGATCAAAACGCTAAGGACAGGCAACTCAAATTGCACTTATAACTCATTACTTGAAAGTGAAAACAAAAGAAATTCTGGCATTACCCTGCACATTGTTACGCCGTTCCTAATGGTATGGATTAGTTAAATTACTATATAATTAGCCAATGTTCCTGAATGCTGTTGATTTGTAAATCATAATGTCACATATTCCCAAGACGAAAAATACACTAAATGGATATCTATTACCTATATACCTACATTGGAAATAATTTTTATTTATAAAACCTGTTTCTTTCTATCAGGATGCTTCAAGAAATTTGTTTAGGAAGGTATCAAATAGTAGTCCAATTTTTAGCTAAACCCCTAGGTGGAATACGACTATATCAGTAATTGGAAGGATTTTGGCCGCAAATTTGTTCTTGTGTAAAAATGTGGCATCGTTTTGATTTTTTGGACGAACGCATGACCACCACACAAGCGGAAAACAAAATATCGCAATTCGTAAACAGTCCTACTGAGTAGAGACTTAGAGAGGCAAGTTTGTGCTACTTATTTTTTCAATATCACCAGATATCAGGAATATCCGCTTATCAGTAAAATAAAGCAAAACAAATTCCGATTTTCAAAAAGAAATTGAGGAGAAAATCGAAAAACTGCTAAGTGCTATTACACGAATACAGCCACCTCGTTAAAGTGATGGACGTTGCATAACGATGCCACATAAAAGATATCAATACCGAAACAAAAGCAATTTGATTATTTCTGTTTAACCCTAATGAGACTGTAATAATACTTCCCTTTGACGGGGGGTAGGTATAATACTAGGTACTTCACATATTATATCACAAGTAGTGCTGCATATGAACTCTGTTTTATAACAATGCCTTCAAACCACCTGAAACGTACAACTTTGTTTATATTAGCACAGATTTAAATATATTTAAATCTGTGATATTAGTTAGTTCAAATCAAATGTGACTAAACTACACGTTTGTGTATCTGTACATTTCCCATCTAAAATTATCAGTTTCCTCAGAGTAAGTCTGCATGAAAATTATCTATTTCGAGAAATGCAACCGAAAGCAAAAGATACACATGCCTTTTGCTTTCCATAAAGTTGCGCCTAATAGATAACAAATGATGACACACAGGGATTTTGTCACTTATTAGTGGAACATACAGATAGGAAACGTCGTGGTATATTATATAACAAAAACGCTACCGATATAAATACAGTCTGTGTAGTTTTCTAAATTTGATGTCCTTTTTTATCCTTGAGAATATTAGAAAACGGTTTTCACATTCTCAGCCTACCTTTTTAAAGAAATTCAAGAAATTTAACTATCACAAAAAATGTTTCAATTCCTCTTTTTAGCTACATTCCTAACAGGGATGCGATAACTAATGGACGACACTGACAATTTTATTTTTCCCGGTAATACGAAAAGTGGTGGATCAACTTGGAGAAATATTTGCCTCTCAAAAAATGTAGAAGTGCGTATTGTTGGTGGTCTAACCAATTGCAATAAGATTGAAATACCATGCGATCAAAAATGAGTTGCTGTCCAGTGACCTTTGGAATTTTTGTTTACATGGGAAATCGTATTTAACTTGAACTTCCAAAGGCGACTCGACAGCAACTCATTTTTGATCGCCCGTTACAAATTGACTACACTGGACGCGCACGCAAAGTCCACTGCAAGAAATATTTCATTCGATAGAGGCTCCACGCGAATTTTTCGAACACAAATAAAGCACACCCTGTGGAGCCGCACCCATCTTTGCTAACCACCTCTCGCTAACTTACAGGTGATCAACTTAACTTTTCGACCCGCTCACCTGGACGCTCTCATGGTTCAACGCGTATTATTATAAAAACTCTCGGGGTTTGACGCGAATTATTTTACGGCTTAAACTGACGGCTTTCTCCGAACAACCACATTCCTACATCTTTTCTTGTTGATTGCCTCCATTCTAGGACGTACAACTTTTTCCACAAATAAAAACTAATTTTTCCGTTCAATCAGAACGCCTCACATCTATAAATTGACTCCACGTGGATTCGTTTGATAACAATGAATGTGATCCTTGTAAAATTGTCCTGTAATTCTAGCTAATCTCGTCATCTTCCGCGACTACTCGGCGCCTCAAGCTTTTACACGCGTTTAAAAATTCAGGATCGTATTACAACTTGAGTACTGGGGTTGTCCCTTTCTACGACACGCGGTAAGGAATTCCCGCCCCTACGCGGATTAATATACACAAAATCGAACAAATTTAGTACCGTAATGAAACGTACTGTTACAATAGGTGTTTATGCGTTGACAATTAATAAGCCTATTTTATTATGGCCATTGACAATGGATTGGAAACCAAAGAATTTGAACAATTTTATAGTAAGAGGTCTGGACCAGGTGGAGGAATTATCTTTATTATAAGAGAGACGGCCAACTGAACCCTAGGGCTTGCATGTATGTCGATAGACGAATAGTCTTATCTAATGGCTGATTTCTGTTTTAGGGATCTCGTAGCTAAAAAACGCTAGTCTAAAGATAGCAGAGGACAGAGAAGGCACACCTGGTGGTCTGCTCAGCCTATTTGCCGCACGACTCAGAAGAGACTCCACCAACCAAGGAGCTGGCTGAGTCGATAGAGTACTGTCGAAATAGTGGGCTCCCTCTTGTGGTTTTCTGTGATGCATAAGCACACATTATTGCTGGCATTCCATTGTGGACGCTGTAGGTTTCAAAATCCCCGAACCACTAATATAATAATATAATAACTGGGACTGCTATATGGCGAAACTGTCAGACCAGTTGGATAGACCACCTTTGCTCGACTGGTATATTAGCTTTACCCTGTAGTGATAAGGCCAATAATACTGTACGATGCGTTGGTATAGTGGGCAACATACAGGAAGCAGCTGTACCCATGAAAACCACGCCAACTTTGACCATGGAAGCACTTCTGGGACTAGAGCATTTAGACTTGTCTATGGAGACAGAAACTCAGAAGGCTTCCATACGGCTAAACGATTGACATTAGTAGAAGAATCAAGGTAGCCTTAGTCACGGTCGTATCTGGAAGGAAACCCTCAGATCCGACCCCCTCCTCGAAAAGAAGGGTTGTGATTCGGACTGTCTTACTAAGACCAAAGAGCTATAAAATCAAATCACAAACGTGTTTTGTACGGCATGTTACACCAGAATCATATGTACACATGTTTATTACCTTCAAGTCCATATTATTTTCAATAAGAACCAATATTTCATGCATATATACCTTAACTGTATCCTTAATACATATGCCGCTTTATAAGAATCATTCGACGCAACGTGTATTCGTGTAGTGCATCACTCTCCTCCTAGCTCTGTTTCTACTATCTCGTTCCCTCACAATATAATAATTTCGGGAATCCTTAACATTTTTTTATCAATCATTATAATTATTGGCACGCACAAACATTTTCCAATATATCTTTGCAATAAGCTTCTGCCATTTTTTCGTTACAACTGTTGTGTAATTGCCCAAAAATAGGTAAACATTTATTGACAAACGTATATAAAAATGGCCACGTTCAGCGCCGGATCTACATATTTTCCGCCTATGGGCCCCTTAAAATTGCCCCCCCCCCCCACCAAAATTCTGTTAATACGATTTTCTTTCTCGTAATTTGCTCCGATTGATTTAATTAGTAGTAAAATTATTTTTTATATTAATTATAAGGTGTTATTGAAACATTGTCTATAGTTTGAAATACAAACACATAACTGTTTAATTTTTACAGAAAATGTAATCCTTTTTTTTAATATTTCCGCATCATTACGTCAACAGGTTTTCAACAACAAAAATTGCGAGAGAAGCCCTAAATTTTCCACAATCTTAATACAAAGTTCGCAGAATGTCGTCGAAATGTGAGGTTATGTTACTTTCATGATTACTTTTAAGTTGGTAAGAGTGTGCATAACGTTCAAACTTCAATTTCTTAAGAAGTTATGTTATTTTTCGACGATAATACTGCAAAATTATCTCCCAAATTTGGTTTTTTACCGCCCCTATAAATTTGCCCGCGCCCACATGGCCCTGGCTCACATTTGGATAGATACATACTTTTTTTGAATTAATTCATAAAGGTCCGTGTTCGTAAAATTTCATTGTAATCGCGCGCGTATTCCGTTATAACATTTTCCAAAGATGAATAAAAATTGTGAAATTACGAACACGCAAATAGAGTTGACTATTAAATCGCGATTTATTTGATACAAAACGGTTAAATAGTTTTTTTTAAACAACAGACTAAACATTTTACTCTGATAATAGTCGAGCACAAATCTCTATTAATTTTTTTTCAATAAAAACATGCAATTTATTCGGAAATTAGTTTGAAAAGACTATCCTTGAAAATGTAAAATTGCACTCGAACTTAAAATAATTCTGATATAGATTTTGTAAATTAAGGCATGGGAAGGTTAATGTACCGTTACCGTTTAGCTTTGAAGTTAAAATTAAATGGAGTTTGACACGCACCCGAAAACTAATACTAGCAAAAGTCTTTGGTACTAGGTATCAAATCAAGATCATCACTTACCTGCAATTCGGGATTGGTATCAAATGCGTATCTCGAAGGTCGACCTTCCAACGTGGAAAATGCGATATTTCCTTCTCGTAGTGGTGATATATCCGAATATTCCGACGTGCATAACGCCCGTGTGTCTTCGCCTTTAGGTGCCGCGGTGGTTTCCGGCAATCCATAGGTGTCTCTGCACGACGCGCTGCAAGAATAATGTACGAGCGTCAGTTGGGTTGCATAACGTGCTGCAGTTCATATTAGAATATTATTGGTGGCAATATACGCAGATATGTACACTATACTATGTATATGTATGTATAAGCCCAATATTCTTTTGTTATATACTTTTAAAGAATGGGAAGCATAACTAAATACCGCGTTTCTCAGTTTAATGCCAACTGGGGCACCAAATGACATGTTCAAATTCCATTCTTTTTTACAATTGCGATCATTTATTTCCGAAATCGAAATATCTTCCCCTAGCCATTATAAAAATTGATACAATTAAGTCTTCTCTCAGCTTTTGTTTTTTACAAAACCCCTCCCAATAATCTAAACTCTAAACTAAAGTGATACTTTTACACTTCATCAAGTAACGGAAATTGAAAGGTATTGGTAGTAAATTACCCAAAAAATGACTACATTTTAGAAAATGAAAGGCATAAATAACAATAAAATTATGCTTTACCTGTAGAATTGGTAAGGAACCCAGGGGCAGTCTTCACATGTCCTTTTGTATATCGAAAAACTTTCAGGCCGCGGGGAGTAGAAAACTAATCGGACGTACGTTATGTCAAAGGCTTTACCTGTAAAATAAATAAAAAAAGATAAACAAATAGTACGATGTTCGATTTCTTAAAGGATTTTTCTTAATATTCAACAAAAGATTTTTTACGCGCCCTTAAAGGAAATCGCCCATACGTCTTCAAGGGTTCAACAAGAAGAAAAACCGATGGACGATCCTGGACATCATAAAGGAATGCGACTCGGTCTTTTTAAAATTTCACGCGATTGCACAAAATTACGTAATCTAGCGGTAAACTAAATGTTATTTAAAAGTGTTTACTGAGCACAAATAGCGGCAGCCGACCAATTGAATTACGTTATGTTTATTTTTTGTCCGCTTGCCTAGTTTCGGGGTCAACGAGTTCATCACGAATTTTCCAAGGTTCCAGGACTGGAACATGGAACTGAAAATGCCAATCGGAGCACGCACAGTTGTATTTGCCGACGAGTTGGTTCTCATTACGGCCGGGAAAACGGTTCAAGCTGTGAAAGAAATTACGGAAAGCGCTTTAAACAAGTATAAATTGTGCACAACTCTTGAGCAGATAAAGCGCATTTTTTTAAACCTCAATAGCTCTTGTTTGACAACAGCAATGGCTATATTTCTCTTCCGACAATCCGTTCTTGAGGTATAAGGTAATATACCCGATCACGATAAGAGGTCGAGGAGGAGCGCTTTAGATAGTAGAAATTAATTCCTTTCGTTGAGACCTTTCATTAGAGTACCCATGAAGGATAAAACTAGTTCCACCCCCCCCCCCCCCCATTACACCAGGGTGGCATTATTTTGTGTCATAAATCCGAAGTCGGGATAGTACTTGCATCACACCATGGAAATCACAAAATTGCGCGTACAAATCTCTGGCACTAATTTCACACTTAAAAAAACAACCCTTGACACTTTCTTAACGGTGCGATGCGAGTACTATCGTGACTTTGGTCCTAATTTATGACACATACCACCCTGCTGTAATTTACGTGTATAATAATAATACAGCTCCGAACTGGATAAGTGCAATTTTAAACAAGTAAATTAAAGTAAAAAATACGCATGCCTTTAGTGGTGCCAAGTTAAAGTTTACACAATTGGGAGGGTAAACACATGTTCTACCCTTCATGGCATTCTAATGAAAGGCCTCATCGAAATAAATTGGTTTGTACAAACTATAACATTCCCGTGCGACTCTTTTCCGAGATAAGGGAGCGACGGGCCAGGGGGAGGGGGGGGGGACTAGTTTTATCCTTCATGGTACTCTAATGAAAGGTCTCAACGAAAGGAATTAATTTCTACCACCCATACTCCTCCTTCTCGACCTATTATCGTGATCGGGAATATTCCCTTATACCTCAAAAACGGATTGTTGGAAGAGGGTACTTAAAAAGGGCGATATTTCGGAGAATTTCTCCAAGGGCTAGATTCTTCCTGCATTATATAGCGTGGATTTTGAATATGTGCCAGACGGCCTTTAAATGTGTGAACAGCCCCCATTATTCATCTACCAAGAAGGTAAACGTCAAGAAATATAGAATGCTATTTCCTTATTTCCAACCATGTACTAAGCTATTTCGGCTTAAAAAATGCACAATTTATACTTTTATTAATCCACTTCCAGAAATCCTTCTCTGTATTAATGTTAAATCCCTTGATTTCTGTCCCATCTTTTTTTCTTTACAGGGCAGAGGTTCCATCCTCTATATATAACTTACGACGCTGCATACATTTTATGTTTATTTTTATAATTTTCAATCTTTGTCGAAATTGACATGATTTAACCTCAATGGCGGATCACGTGTATGAAAAACCCTGTTAATTTTCATTTTTGGTGTAAATGTTTGCACAATTTATGTTTTGTGTTTTGTAATTTGTTTATCTTGCACATTTTTATTTTCACTATTGCTCCTTCGAGATTCTTGACTATTAAAATGACTGATAAAAATGCGAAGACTTATTTTTAATACGAATGTTGTACCTTATTTTTTGTTCTCTTAAGACCTCATCTATCTCTCCTCTTTTTTTTTCATCATTGTTCCGTATGTATCTTTTTCTTCAGTAAAAGCAGAGTCCCAACATTCTTTCCTTCTCTCTCCTATTTCCATCTCACATTCTTCTTTTTCACTCGTCAATGTCCTCGCATTATTCTTGTTCCCATTCGCCCTGGCTTCTTAATAGTTCTACACATTATTTTTGTTCATATCTGTAAGTACCTACCTTTTCCTTGCACAATTCTCTCATTCTTTCTGCTGTACCTTTTATTTTTTTATCTTCCTCTTCTTTTTGTTTTCCACCATTATACTTTTCTCTTGCATGGTCTTCTCATGTGTGTCTTCTTCGTATTCGCTTATCCCATAAATACTTTTGTTTGATTTCTAATCCGCCCTCTCTCCTGTTTCCAGAACATAATCTTTATAGGTCATCTTTCTCTTCCGCCCGTCTTTCTTTTCCTCTATCCGCCTATTTCCGCCTTTTTACCCCTTCTCCTCCTTGTCCCTCTTATTTTCCCTCCTGCTCCCTTATCATCTATTCTCAAAAGTCCTTTCTTTTCGTTACTCCACCTATATTCCTCAACTTCCACCGACTAATTTTCTATATCCCCCCCTTTCTGTTTCGGCCGGACCTCTAATATTTCTCTGTACCTTCTTTCCCCGGTAATACTTCTAAAAACATCGAACCGACTGGAGAATGAACAGGCCCGCTCGAAGACGTTCGCTTGTACGTTCTAAAATTCCTGTTCCTTAATCCCGTCTCTTTCTATATGTTTTTCGCCGAGGGGAAATCACTGTAGAATTTTGTGGTGCACTACTAGCGTTTTGTAGAATTGTCTAGAACTTTTAGAATTTTTGTAGAATTTTCTAGAATTTGTTCCAGAATTTTTTTTTAAATTTCCTTGAATGTTATAGAATTTTTTGCGAATTTTCTAGAATTTTTAGAATTTTAGTGTATAGGAAATTTGAAATGATTTACTCCTTGTATTTCGCGGTATCATTTTGGAGAAAAGAAAGTGCTCTAAAACAGCCTTAGTGTTTAAAAAATGAAATTTTCTAAGAAAAAGGTGTAATACTTGTTGAGAAAGGTTTAATTTACAACATATGAACATTTGAAAAGATTTCAATGAAATGATTTTGTTTTTATTACACTCTAAAGTTGACCGTAGGACGGAAAATCACGAAAAAATGGTACTTTTTGCAGTTGGCGTGCTAAAATGGTACTTGGTTAAAGTTTCACCCAAAAGATCCTATATCCAATCAGCATTAGAAGCAAACAGGCTTTAATTTGATGCCACATCCAATAAAATCGATTACTGGTTTTTTTTTATTAACCTCAAGCGTCAGTGAACGTTTAACATAATTTATGATACACCGTGTGTAAACCAAATTAAGCCCAGTCCTGTACCTTTAGCAGAATTGTTGGTACGAATATTAAAACTTTGTGGGCGACATTAATAGTAAACAAGTTAAAAAGTAATCGTAAACGATTTACATAAAGCGCATTTCCACTTGCATTCATTTCCCATTTGTAAGATGCAACTTCTATAAAATCGTAAAAATCCGGCCACAAATATTGAAAGATAGCGTTGCACATGGGCAATCCATTTTTGTCGTGCTACTTCAATGTCAGTTTATGAGAAGAATTTCATTTCAATGCTTTTCTAAATAAGAAAGTTGGAACTGCGCATGCGCAAACCTAAATTTTGAAACTAATGTTAGATTTTCCTTTGTTCCAAGCGCCTAAGTATCAAATTTCAGTTAAATGCTTCCATAGATTAAAAAAGTTGGCACTGCGCATGCGCAAAATAAAATTTTGAAACTGGCGCTAGATTTTCCTTTATTCCAAGTGCCTATGTATCTCATTTCATTTAAATTTTTCCATAAATAAAAATGTTGGCACTGCGCATGCGCAAAACCAAATTTTGAAATTGGCGGTTGATTTTCCTTTATTCCAAGTGCCTATGTATCAAATTTCATTCAAATACTTTTATAAGTAAAAAAGTTTACAATTCGGTTTATAAATGGTCGAGATGCGAAAAGGGCACTGTGAATTTTGAATCGATTCGATTCAACTTTTGGCATGGCGTATTATATGGCTAAAGCTATGCCCATATTGAATTTCATGCAATTCAGTTCATAACTAACGGAGATGTAAAAGCGATCGAACATTTCTAAACAAAGTTATCGTTCACACGGACAGATAGATAGACAGACAGACAAAGGAACAGACGGACAGACAAAGGAACAGACGGACAGACCAACAGGCAGACGACAGATAGCAATGCAAAATTATAAACGATCTCTAGGATCGTTAATAAACGGCAAAAGTGTAAAATTATGGAACATGTAAAAAACGGTTTTGTGTTTTTTTTACAATAACTTTTTTTTGTAAGCGGTACAGAAAAAATTCCTTCCTTGGTACAAGATTCGACACCATAACGAACCAAATAGCGAAAAAAGTAGAACAATAGCTCTTAAGATAAAGAACTAAGTAGCGTCGCAAAACGAGCGGACGGACGGACGGACAAAGTGGCCACAATGGCGCATTTTTTAGCGCATTTCCACAAAAATAAAAATAAAAATGCGCTATTGTGGCCACTTTGTCCGTCCGTCCGTCCGCTCGTTTTGCGACGCTACTAGTTCTTTATCTTAAGAGCTATTGTTCTACTTTTTTCGCTATTTGCTTCGTTATGGTGTCGAGTCTTGTACCAAGGAAGGAATTTTTCCTGTACCGCTTACAAAAAAAGTTATTGTAAAAAAAACAAAAAACCGTTTTTTACATGTTCCATAACTTTACACTTTTGCCGTTTATTAACGATCCTAGAGATCGTTTATAATTTTGCATTGCTATCTGTCGTCTGCCTGTTGGTCTGTCCGTCTGTTCCTTTGTCTGTCTGTCCCTCTATCTGTCCGTGTGAACGATAACTTTGTTTAGAAATGTTCGATCGCTTTTACATCTCCGTTAGTTATGAACTGAATTGCATGAAATTCAATAGGGGCATAGCTTTAGCCATATAATACGCAATGCCAAAAG